GACGAGCCATGTGGGGAACAGGAAGATGTGCACTCCGATTATTAGCTGCACTAATGAATTGGTCTGCAGATTTTTGAGCAAACAAAATTGGATCCAATAGCTTAAATGGACTACACAGTCAACAACACTAGAACGTCATGCAATGCATCACACACACTCACATTCATGTATATATGTATGCATGTGCGTGTATGTGTTTGTATATGAAATGGTCAGTGTCAGTCAATAGTTTTAGAAATTCGGCAGTGGGGCCAACAGCACATGATAACCGCTGGAATTGCCAATATACAATTCAATCGCTAGCCTGTGGACATATTTCGGATTAACAACGCACATACGCTTATGCCTTCAACGCTGTGCGCCGCCCTGCCACGCCAGCCATCCATGCCCGGCCCATGCGCTGTGCAATTAAGAGCTCAATCAGTCTACATTTCGGGCAAAGTCCATTTATGAAATTATTGATGTGCGCGCACACACACACACACACACATGCACACCCGTCGCCCACCGACCAACCGCCAATCTTCTTAGTTTAATTTTGCCATTCGGCAGCACTCCCACAGCTGCTGCGCCCCGCCTGCCTGCCCACTCGCACAACAGAGGCATTAGTTGGCTGGCGGTTAGTTGGTTTCCGATTTCAACAATTGGCCCAAACCGGGCATGTCCAGCACCCATGGCAAGTATCTAATTTCGTTGAGTGGCGGTCGTGTTTGTTTGTGTCTGTGTAAGGCGTGTGTGTGTGTGTGTGTGTGTATGTGCTTGTATTGATGCGTATTTTTATTGATATTTCTATGAGTGATGAATGTTCGGGTCGAGTGCGGCCGACAATGCGGCTTTCTGATTGCATTCCACGCTCCACACACTCACACACATACACATGCTCAYATACATACATACATACATATGTTGTTGGCACGCCTTTAAGGCAATCGAATTTCCATCCCGCACTTCAGCTAATCTCACTCTATGTACACAATTGATTTGCTCATTGAGTTGCTCGTAAAGTTTCGCCGGAAAAATTGGGATATGCCGCCAAATTGAGTTCCAGGCGAGAACTCGATTTTGGCAATTCTCACCGCTGTCTTCTCGAACTTAAGCGCGTACATATGGATTCTAGCTTTCTTCGGACGATCCCGAATATTGAAACAATTATGTATTTATGTGTCATGCGAGTATGTGTGTGCGTGTGTGTGTTTAATTTTTGGCAAGAATGCTGGAAACATAGCGCAAGTAGAGTATATAGTACATATGCACATTTGTATATGAAAGCAGCGCTGAGCTGCAGCATGTCGAGGAGGGAAGGAAATATTATAGTTTGCTCACACCGCCGTTTCCCATAAATTGTGCAAATATTTGCACTCGTAAGTGGATTGAAGATGGATGAGTTTATCATAAACGTACCTACTCATAGTTTCACACAGACTCGCAAACTTTTGTTTATACTTCGCGTAAGTACAATGTACCTTCCAACATACTTACTCACTTACCAATACATATACACATATATATATATGCATACTTATATTTATATAATATTGTAATATATATATATATATATATATATATATATATAAGTGCGGCTGCTTGTAGGCGCATGTGCATTCATATTTAGTTAAGTATGTGCACACGAGCAGCATTTATTGGCACATTTAAGCTGCAATTGCCGTCACTGTGCAACCGCTTTGTTGCAAGCGCATTTTGAGCCAAAGCAAAACTTGCTTACAATCATACACACATGCATATGCGATTTACATATATACATAAGTGTATGTTATGCTTGCTTCATGTCCTTTAGATAATTTCAAGCCAGAGGCGCGGCAGCAGTCAGAAGCAAACAAACTGAATTATTTCGATATATCTTAAAATTATCACAAAATTTACTTGAGCTCGCATTTAAATTGATCAGTCAAACACACTCACACAAAATAATCACGTTTCCCTTACCTGTGTTATAATCATATTATATACATAAGTCCACGTATTGAAGTTGATGTCGCATATAAAAACGACAGCCACTTTTCGGTGCTATCAAAATCTTTTAATATAATTATTAAATTTTAATCCGAAAATCTCAATCATCATTTTTGGTTGACGATTAAAGGGTTACATGAGTTTCATGGACTAAAAGCTCGATTTTTTTATCTTATTTAATTCTATATTCTATCATATATGTATGTATATAGAATATTATAACAAATGTTCAAGTTGATCCGAATAATAGTTTTGCAGATACTCTAGTTCAGCGCTCGAGGTCAGCTATACAGTCACTTAAAATTTTAAATGCGTTTTTCAAAGTATTCAAAATTTTACACAGGTCTTCGAGATATAATTCACAAGGTCTTGAACGAAGGTTTTTTTCAATTACAGCCTTTTTTCGAGGAATTCAAAAAAATTATGGTCTTAATTAAAACTCGTATTTATTTCATTCCACTTCAGTGAAGAATATCTGCTGTCAACGCCGAGGGACTGACAGAAATGGTCAAGTTTTTAATATTTTCACAAAATCTTTGTAAAATATTCATCTTTGAAATAATATACAATTTGAAGAAAAAATTTAATAATATGTAACTCTCAGCGATTATCTGAAAAGCTTATCTAACGGCCCTAGGAATGATTATTCACTTTGGAAGTGTACAAACAACATTTCTCGACCTATAGCTCAGCATCATCCACGCAGAAAAGCAGAGCAGGACTAAGAGCGATATAGCAAACGTTTTTTCTGAACACGTTGAAGCTGTCATTAAACCATATGATACATTCAAAGCAGCAGATATGCAACCTCATACTTACGAGAATTACACAGAAATCCCTCTGTTCATTAATGATGAGTTATGCGCAAGAAGAAAAAAAAGTTTAAGAAATGGCCAGAGTTTTACCTTATTACCACTGAAATACTAAAACAGCTTCCTCAAAATGTTATACGAAAAATTACTACTATAATGAACGCTACTATTAACCAACAATACGGATCTATGTATGTATGTATGTATATACTAAAAAAAAAATGTGATTATTTCCAATAAATCTGGAGGGCCAGTGCTCCAACACATTCAAAGCTTATGGACAAACTGCTTGCTGTGCGCCTTAACAACAAAATTGAAGAGAGGAAGCTGATACCGGTGCATCAGTTTGGCTTTCAAAAAAGTCACTCCACTATTGACCAAGTGCACAGGATAACTCAAGTCATTGAAAATTCCTTTGAAGAAAAAAGTTTGCTTCGCCGTCTTCCTCGACGTTTCTAAACCTTTTAATAAAGTTTGGCATGACAGGCACCTAAACATAATTAAGATTGAAGCAGAAAAAATATTACAATTTTTAAAATCATACCTTTCTATGTGTCTGTACATAAACAGTGTGCAAATACAATATTACTATATGATACTGGACACAAAAACTTAGATTACATCACAAATAGTAAAGGTACACCTTCTCTCGCATTGACGGAAACTTCCTATACAAAATCTTCGTCTTAGATTTTATTTTGCCACCCGTTGACATCAGCTTACAAAGAAATTAAACACTCCTAACGGTAGTAGCATCCCACTGCATTGCTGCCTAACAGCCTACCGTCCTAGTCCAAAATGACAAATATACAAGTTGCATTTCAAAGTAAACAGAACTGAAAAAAAAAACAGAACAAATGTTTTTTTCGGCAAAATCAATTTATTTTATTTAGTCTCCTTCTGCTTCAATAAGGCTTTTGGCACGGTCCAAAAACGATGTCGAACGAGTGTTTTAGTTCGGTGGTCGGTATGACCGCCAGTATGCCGGTGCAAGCCTTTTGACTGGCCTCTACGTCTGCGCAACGCTTTCCTTTCATGGGCAAAAGCATTTTTCCGAAAAGGAAGAAGTCGCACGGTGCCATATCAGATGAATGCGGGGAGTGGTTAATGGTTAAAATGTGGCTTATGGCCAAATAATCGTCTTTCGAATGTTGGATTCTGAGAAGTTTTTGGTCGTGAGTCAATTTATGCATCTTTCGTAAGACCAAATGTTCGATAAAAATTTCATGAATTTCAATGATGATTTCGGCTGATTTTTGATAAATTCACGCACAGTTTCGATGGAATTTCCGGTGATTACGTGTCATGAAATTCTCAAAGGTAGCAGATTCTAATGCGCCAGTCGACATTTTGATGGCGCCACCAGCCGGCGCTAGATTCAAAAAGTCCTGTTTAGTTTGGAAAGTACCTTGTAGCTCATTAAACGTAATTACAAAAAAAATTTTAATTTATTACATATGCATATATAATATGCTAAAAAAACTATAATACTCTTTAGCAACTTTGTTGCGAGAGTATAAAAACATATATACATGCATATATCGCTGACATGCAATAAAATAAGTAATTAATAATAAACATCTATTTAGCAAATTTTCAAACTGCTTGTGCGAATAGGTTTGTAGCCACACTGTTGCCAAAGCCTATCCAACTGCAGTAACGCAATGGCAACTAACCTGTAATATCGGCGCACTGCATTATCAACCCGTAAAGTCATTAGTACACTGCAGCAAAATTGATCAAGGGCGCCACCTATGGTGAAAATATGTGTCAGCTAAAATCATACATCAGGTGCTGAGCTCTGCTTAGCACTTCCGCAAAACAATGTATGTAACTAATACAGTGGCTCTTACACATTAACCATTTTTCACACCACCTACTGCTGCATTTTGAGCGCCTGTTGTAAATTTAATGTGCACATGAATACGAAATTTTTTTCGATCGTTGCGACATTTTATTTAGAGCCACACAACATAAACTTGTGGTAGCGTGCAAGAAAATTTTACTTTTGTTGGTGGAAAGGTGTTAGTTTTAAAAAAAAGTAAGCAAAATGGGTATTGAATTAAAGGATTGTGATAATAAAAAAATTTTTTTTTTAATATTTCTTATTAAAAAATGTGATTTTTTTAATTTTTCGCTGCGAATGATTGTTTTTTGATTAATTTACGAGAAATTTGATATGGATTATTGACTAAAGCAATGAACACATGTAATAAGTACATACAACATTTCATTTATTATTCTTTTTTTCATCTTTTTAACCAACGATTGCTTTATTTACATCAACTTTTAACTTAATAATATTGCTTACACTAACTATTCCGTTATTCGATTTCTTATATGATATACTCCCCAAACTAGCTTAAGTCCGACCGCTCTATTACCACTGTACAACATATTTTCCTAAACATATCCAACCCTAACTCTTTGTACATACATACATACACAAGTATCCATATACTATATTCATATACTATATATGTACATGAAAATATGTACTTCTATTTGTTATGACTTAAATTAGCACTCACTTAATTTACAACAATAAAATCAACTAAAACTATCACAGGCATCGAAAAAGCGTTATTGCAGCCTCCGAGGACAACAACAACAACGTTTCATATTTTTGTTTAAATTCAACGCGACCCAGGCACTTTTACATTGAATTCAACACACACATACATATGTACATGTGTGGCTTAAGGCTGCGCAAAGTCATGGCAACAACGCGAATAGTCGCTAGCTACTTAGGAACATTAACGGCCCACATAAACCGCCCAACCAGCCATTCTTACGTATATAACTACTTCTTGTTACTTGTTGGATCAGTTCATGGGCATGTTGACTTCCCACAGTTTCATCTGATTGTCGAGCACTTCGTTGAACCAGTTTTGCTTCTCAGGCTCATCCCTAAATATGACGTTCAATGATTTCAGATCTAGTTGCAGAATTGCATCGTTGCCTAAGAGGCTATCCAATGCCTTGAGTAGCGTGGCATTGCCGTGCAACTTGAGCAATGTCACATACTTCACCACATAGTACTCGTATTGCAGTTTGCGTCGCGCCCAGCGCTCCACCGTCGCATTGGCGCTCGCCGAGCGTATTTGCCCCAGGTGCACGGCGTGCCATGGCGCAAAGAAATCGTATAGGTCCTTCTTCGAAAGACTGTTCAGTCCTTTCGTTTTAATGCGATCTCTGATCAGCTGGTAGTTTTTTCGCGAGTAGACAAATACCTACAAAATCAGAAAAAAAAAAGTAAAAGATGTAGTAAGTCGTAGATTTAGTCTTACCTGGTACAACGAATTGCCCGTCGTGTAGGAGTTGATGTAGTGTGTGCCGTACGATTCCATAAACTCGATGGCGCCGGTCACATTACCCGCCGTTATGCCACCGATACGCTCATGCACGTCATTTTCCAGCGTCTGATTGAGCGGTATGTCGCCCTTGAACTTGCCCACTTCACGGAAACGCACTACGCGCACCAACACATACGAATATTCGCCCATTATGTATGACGTGTTGATGCCCAGCTTTTTGGCGGCATTCTCGGCGAACCAGCCACCGGTGAAAGCCTCCCACGGTTTATCCAGCCGCTCGACCGTAAAGTCTCTGAAGTAAGCCTGATAGAGCTGTCGTCGATTATCGCAAAACTCCATATGAAAGTCACCATGAAAGATGCCCGGCGCATTCTCCTCACGACTTTCACTCAATGCATTTAAATCCTGCGAAGAAGAAATTTCGTACAGGTTTAATAAATATAGAATTAAAGGTGTCAACTAATTGAGAACACTGTATGACTAAATCTACTTTTTGTTTTGTGTGTTAGACCAAACTAGTTTTTCGAGGGATTGAGTGATAAGTAAAAAATAAGTTTCTTTTTTTTTCGAGGTTTGCCATACAAATCGAAATGTTTACCTTCGAATTTCAAAAACGGGGTTTGGAAAAAATCACGATTAATTACAGTAATTACTAAACAGATTTCGGTGGTAAACAGATTTCGCATTAATGAAGCATCGATTGAAACAGACTAAAGGGCCTTTACCTAGCCACATACGAGGTGTAATCAAAAAGAATCGGTATGTTAAAAAAGTTGATTCATTTGTCTAAATTGGCGCCTTCCAAAAGATCCCCATACGATATTATGCCGGCGCTTCTTCCAATTATCTAAACACTTCTCAAACTCAATTTTGGGATATCCTCGCTGTTTCAGCGATTTTCATCTATCCTGTAGAAATTTATGGTTCCTCAGGAGCATGTATATCAATAAAAAATTGAGTGTCATAAAAAATGTTGACAATTGGACTCACCAAACCTGAGAAATTTTAAAATTTAAGTTATTTTTCAAAATTATTTTCTTTCAGTCAATACATCTTCTCCGTATACTATACATCACATAATTTTCGAGTTGTTTGAACTTCATTTTTACCCTTTTGATCGTAAAACAGTTCAATTTACCAAAAATGTTGTTTTCGATATTCCATCTACGACAGGGCACCAAACAAAAACTATTCCAAAAATTTAGGAACATTTTTTTTACAAACAAGCCTTACTATCAGCGTTTCAAATGTATAACTGTAAAGCGTCTAAATGTAAAGTTAAAACATTACTTGGTGAACGACCTAAAATTTATGAAGGGTGTGTGTTCCTGTCAAAAGCACTCCATTCCCTTCGTATTCCTTACAATTTCTTTATTCATTCCTCGACAAAATCGGATTTTTGCTTTACCAAATACAACATTAATGATGAAATTTTATTTCGAAAACATGGTTCATGGTGGTTTAAAACAATTATTTCATTTAGGATATTAGGTGACAAACCAGGAGCATTAAAAAAAAAGTAGTAGTAGTAAGACATGTCTTGTTCTGGACGAGCTCTTCAACTGATGAAAATATTAAAAAAGTGAAGAACTTGGTGCTTGAAAATCGTCAGGAAAGTGTTAGAGAGGTGGCAATTTGTTGCGCTATTTTGGGTATGAAACACGCTCTTATTCGACTCGTTCCGATTAAGCTGAATTTTTTTTTTTCAAAAAGGGTGGCGTAAACAGGTCTCTTTGGACATGCTTGATCGTGTGAATTCCGTTGCCCCATTCATGTAGAGCATTGTAACTGCCAATGAGAAATGGGTTCATGAGTTTTACATGCAAAAAATTCAACAATCCTCGGAATGGAGGGAAAAAACGAGCTGAAGTCGCTAAAATATCAAGGTTGATATTCATGGTTTGGTGCATAATGAAATTGTTTCGGAGGACAGACAGTCAATGAGGAGTTCTATTTTGCCATATTGAGGCGTTTATGTGAGAACATCCGGCCGGAATTGTGGAAGAACAATTCACAGCTTTTACACGATGACTGCATCATCGCATCGCGCCACGATTGTGACCGAATTAAAAGACAATAACGCAATGAATACCATTGATCAAAAACCGTATTCACCAGATATGGCTCAGTGTGATTTTTTCTTGTTCCCCAAACTGAAATTGACGCTAGATGGAACCCTTTTCAGGGTTCATAATACAGAGATAAAACATAATTCCCTGAAGGAGATGAATACCATCATAAAAATGGCTCATTAAAAGTGTTTTAAGGGCTGGAGAAATTGTTGGCTAAGGCGACAAAATATATACTAATGAAGTACATCCATATGTATGTACATTGATGATTCATAAATTTTGATTAAAAATAATCCGATAAACCGCAAACACAGTTCCTTGGAAAATATGCTTATTAAGCTGTGTGTAATGTGAATGAAGTTGAGTAAACATGATTTACTGATAAGCCAGAATTATATGTAAATTGGTATTTAGTAATTACTTTGGTAAACAAACAAAAAAATATATCAAAACAAATAAATTAACAAAATAAATTTAAAAAAATTGTCGTTTTTCATTTTCAAAAATTGCTGTATAATTTTTTTTCTTTTAATTTCTATTACAATAGCTCTTAGATTATGTCCCACTATATAACTGATTTATCAAACCTTAAACTCGTTAAGTCACTCCAATGTATGTACATATGTATATATGTATGTACATTAACTAATTTATATAACTAGCAGATGCAGATAAAATACATGTAAGTACTTATGTATGACATACCTTATAAATTGACTTTGTCGGCTCCTTGAATAGCCATTTGTCCGTCTCGTAGCTGTCGTTGTATGGTATGACACGCATCGATATTCCCAGATAGCCATAGCGCACGAAGATGTTGATGGCCTTACCGATGCGCAGCTGAGACTCACGAGTACCGCCGAAGGACAGATTGCAGGCTACGAAAATAAGTGCCACCAGCCAGAACAGACCATTACCCAGGTTCATCGCTCATGTGGCGTAACGTTTACATAGAAACGTCTCAAATGTATGTGCTGGACAAACGAAGTAACTGTAAACATTTAAAATATATTCAAATCAAATTTCTTGCAATTTTTGATGAAAAAACTGTTTGCACAAATAAAATAAAAAATGCAGACACACACCTATTAAAATTTGCTGTTAAAACCATTTGTATGTGGATGAAATGTTGTGATATTTTCAAGGTCACTAAAACGCGAAAACTTGTATGAGCCTACGCTCAGCGTCAAATGATCCAAATTAGATAATTTTTAATGCTTATATTATACATACATGTATAGTATAGATATTGACATGTGCTTTTGGTGTTGTAAATAATTTGTTTTACCAAATTTTCAAAAAAAATTCCAACTTTTGTCGCATTTTTGCATGACAGCAAGATTGATTTCAATCAATATTCCATATGAAACAATAATCCGTGTGCTTAGGCAATGAAAGTAACGGCACAATTGCAATAATTTTTAAGAGGTAAAAAAAAAAAATAAAAAGCTTTTGCCAATATTGAATTTCTACTCCCACATATTTTACCGTTATTACTACATATTATATTATAAAGCAAAATTTGTGAAAATTTTGTACACTGCATATATTGTGTATGTGAGTTAGGGTGGGTAACAAACGAGCAAATTATTTCGCTTGATACTCTGAATGTCCTATAATATATACTATGCATATCGTCACCTGAAATGCAAAATAACGTAACAACATTTACAGAAATTTACAGTGGCATGAATGACACACGAAATAAAATGGAACATGAGTGAAAAAAATTGTAATATTGGTTAAAACTGGTTTATATCTGAGTGCAGAAGCTGAAAATGTTGAACGTATGTAATATTATGTATGTAATTTGAATTAGTGAAGCGTAATCAATAAGACACTCAATTTCGATTTTTTTGATGATACGTTATTTGGCATTTCAGGTGACGATATATACATATATACATATATTTAAATTTTAAGACCCCAGTTTTGTAGAGCAGTACATTTTCGAAGAGCTTGGCAAGCATGCTCTTGTAGAACTCCCAGAGGTGATATAGTGACTGATGCCCAGAGCATACTAATATTATGGAGGGAACAGCTCTCCAGCCTACTGAATGACAGTGAAAGCATAACACCAGGAGATGGCAAACCAGATTCGCCAATGAATGCATTCCATTGCCCGACCAAAAAGTAGTTCGAATAGCAATTAACCTTCTGAAGAACAACAAGGCGGCGAGGGCCGATGGATTGCCGGCCGAGCTATTTAAATACGGCGGCGATGAAGACTATATGCGGTGTTGAGGAGGCATACATGATTATATCACGAAAAAAAAGCATCAGCAAAAACATTAATATATTTTAAACGGTTAGATTTAAGAAAAAATCTTTATATACATATGTACCTTTCTTATTGAGCATTTAATTTATTACAAAATCTATGAAATGATATATCGATCAAGAATAAAAAGCTGTAAGGCGTACCTTTTCGTTACAATTAAGAGCTCATACTTGGAGAGACTTTTTTTGAAAGTGTTTAAGAACCAAGCACAAAATATCATAATTATTATTTGTTGCTAACCCACCCAAATTTTTTGTAAAAACAATATTGAAATTCATACATGATTCACATAATTTTAGAGATTCAGATTACAAATCACTTATTTTTTATTCTAAATAAAATAAAAGTACATAAAAATTAAGAAAATTGTATGAATATTTCTCTGCCTCCATAAATCGGTAAAGTATTCCTTTGACCTTACGGTTTACTCGTGCTGCAAACAAATAAAATAAAAATAAAAAATAAGAAAAAAATGAAAGTAAATAAGTCGATAAAGTCATTCTACAATGCTTCCATAACATTGAAAATACATACTATTGTGGGCAAAAAATAGTAATAAAACTCATTCCTTGAATTTTTTTTTATTCTAGGTTTTTATGACCGTCAGTGTCACTAAAATAAAGGAATTGGTGCTTGAGAATGGACAAATAACAGTAAGAGATCTTATTGGCATCGTTGAAATATCGGAAGGGTCAAAGAAAACCATTTTGAAATATCATTTGGGCTTAAGAAAAGTCTAAGCAATATTGGTTCCAAAATAACTAAATTGTTTCACAGCGTGGAGTTAACGTCAGTGAAACAATTCTTTCCGACAGGATGTCATGAAACGTATTATAACTGGGGATGAATTTTTAATCTATGCTTACGACCCGGAAACAGACGATCAATCGGCCGAATATCGTGGCAAAGGTGACCATTTTTTTAAGCCGATTTATGTAGCTTTCCATAAATAACAATCATGTTTTAGTATCCGAAACAAACTTGACAAAAACTATATAGTCCACAAGCCTTTCGCAATAAGGATGTAAAATGATAATTTTAGTATTAAGCTCACAACTTAACCTCAATTATAACACAAATCGACAGAAATCTTCTAACCTAGTAATAAACTATATGTTTAAAAAAAAATACTTTGAAAAATCTTAAACATTAGTCAGACAACTTCTGTACATCAAGCCTCTAATCACCTAAAGTCATCAACTATTTGAGAAGTGATTTGCGACAGCGAATTATCTTGTTTTTCAAATTGGTTAGTTATGTTCTTGCATATAATCACTTGTAATCAGACACCATAAAGAAGAGATAATGCTACTACGAGTAATATTTCTCGCGCTGACACTGACGCGCAATAGATCAAACTTGAACTTCCGCACATACCCACATATACATATACATTTGAAATGAATATGAGCAAACATATGATACCCAAATTGACCGTGAATCGTGGTAAACTTGACATCGGATGAACCATCGACATCGGCACTCACCATCACCATCAAAGTTAATGATCGGCGTCGTAAACTGTTTAAAAGCATTAAAACGCTAAATATAAAAGCAAACAAAATAGAGTCTAAAAATGGCTTACACTGGCTAACACTGGTGACAACACGCTAGCAACAACAATAACAATATGAATTACATGTAAACAACGCGCGACCAAAATTAGTCAAATGCCAAGCACAAATATATACATTTATGCTAATATGCATGGAAAACTGTCATTAAAAATCATTTATGTTTAAATCAATGCATGAGATAAAAAAAAACAAAGAAAAAAAAAAAACAACATACTGCGCGGTTATGCACATTCGCTTCGCTTTTGAACGTTAGCGGAAGAGATTTGCATTTTTTCCGATCTTTTTTTTTTATGGACACTCGCCAATTAGCTGATGAAGAAGAGTGCTGATGGTGATCGAAAATATTAAAAGCGAGGAGTAATTAAAAGAGTTTTGATGGCATATTTTTTTTTATGTTAGTTGTTTAATTAAGAGTTATTTCAATCTTAAGATTTTTAACGCCTTGAATCACATTTACAATAATATCAATATATTCTCGATAAAATGTTATTTCTTCATAATATTGTTATAAAGATGGAAGGAGTGGTCTGTATACGCATAGTATTACGAAGCTCAATGGACCTCTGTTTAATTGACTCCCATAGTCATTTGCATAACCAGCTTTGACAACAAAAGACAATTTATTTACACATTGAGTGGTTAACTGTTAGTACAACTTGAAATTTCCGGGCTTCATTTAAAAAATGCTAAGAATATTCATGCTAATATTAAAGTTACTTTCTTTCCACCCTTTCCATTTAACAATAATTTTGGAATATCATTAAAGCTTATACCATATACATATGTATGTAGATGAAGGATGATCCATTTCGAGGTTTCCTAATTTTTAAAGAAAAACACAGAAACTTTACTCTCAATAAATCTATTGATTGATGCGATATGTGGGGAGTGGCGGCGTCATTTGGTTTCAACAAAATGCCACCGAGGTCACGAGCTTCAATTTCAGATATCAAATAGTCGGTTAACTTGTCGCGAAAACGGTCGCCATTGACGGTTAAGTTCTCATCGGCATTATTTTTAAGAAATATGGACCGGTCCACAAGACACACCTTGAAGCTTTTTAGGTTGCTCTTCGTCCCAAATACGTCAATACCAGACCAGAAATGAGGCTCATCGCTAAACAAATTTTATTTGAAAACGTCGGATCTTCTTGGAAGAGCGTCTTCAGTTCTTTCACAAGCTGTATTTTGTATCCTTTCAATTTAAGATCTCCACGTAAAATGCGCCAAGTTGTTCCATACGTCAGTCCGAGTTGGTGCGAATGGCGCCGAATTGACTCTGCACGGCCTTCGTTTACACTGCGTGGTGGGCATGGTCTATTCGGTCTAATGTTATCCAATAAGGAATGCTGGCTCTCAAGATAGGTGATGGTGTTGCGATGGTGGCTCAGTAGGCCGATTATGTTGCCCATAAGTTGAGCGAAACACATTATTTACAGACGTAAGCTTTTCCAAACGTAAGTGAAATGCCAAACAATACTAACCAAAAAAACGTGGCAGCTTGATAAGACTCACCCGTGATCTGTCAAAAAATTGGCTATTGAAAAAAGTAGCTCTACTTGGATCACCTGTTATTAGGTCTACGAAAAAAAAAACATTATTTTTGCATTAAATTTAATGTTATTCTCATTTTAGTTTTGGGCAACAGAAACAGTGCTTAGAGTACGTTCACACACGGACTATTTTATCGCTTATTACTGGTATATTATCTTTTTCATTGCGTTCACACTTGCGACCGAGTAAAATTGAGTGAGGGAATGCTAAGTTGCGTAGCAGCGAACTCCGGACAAGAACTCGATGCGAGCACGAATCGTCGCCTACCTCGCCTATAAAAACCCAGTTTTGAGTCGGGGTGGGAAAGGAGTCTTACATGACGTTGGACAATTTTCACTATTATATCAATATTTTCGATAAATCGAGTGTCCTACACACACTTTAAGGATGCATCTAGTGCTTTCAAACGGTTCATAGACTTTATGAAGGGATTTTGAAACATTAAGGCTAGAAAGAGTATGATCAAAAGTTATAATACATTTACATTTTGCTCGCGATCGATCTGACAACAATTCATTGGATATGGCATAAATAATTCCTTCCGGTATATTGCTGAGAATTTTGTAAGTTGTAAGTTCGC